CAGTTAAATCAATTATAGCGGTACCTCAGGATACGAACGCCTCTAACAACTAATTTGCGTCGGGTTACGACCAACTCGGGATACGCCCAGAGTCACGGAACGGATTAAGTTCGTATCCCGAGGTACCACTGTACATTGAAAGGGAAGGTAGGTTCCTACTATACACTTGGTTCCAAAACAAGCCATATTTTGGATTAGCCCATCATAGGATCTTAGCTAGCTGTGGCTTATTCATTTTGTTGTTGTTGTTCAGCTTTGCTTCTAAGTCTCCTGAATCTTCGTGACTTTATGGAGATGGTTTTGTCTGTCGGTAACTATTACTGAGTTCTGATAAACCCCTGTCTGTGTCATCAATGATATGATCTGGGATCTTTTGATTCCATTCCAGTTTTCCAAACATGGAGATCCTAAAAGCTATAACTGAAGGGTCTGCTGGCAGCCTCCACTTTAGACACTGGTGATAATTTCAGGCTTTCCACGAAGCTGAAGACTCCACTAGCTTGGAGCAACTGGTGGTAAAAATTTCCAAAGGTCTACTCGGCTACCTGTCATTTCTGCTCTCTGCGACCAGCTAAGGCTTATAAGGTTTTTTGTTTCTCCAGTTGGAGGCTAGTGATCACCAGTGATGGGATTAAATGAATTTCATTTTGTCCTGCTACATGCTTATCACCTCTAGCTTAATGTACTTACAGAGCCCGGAGAAGAGTAGGAAAGGAGCAATCCATTGCTGCGGGCAGCTAGAGACCTTTCTGCTCTATATAAACGGTTTGTCCTAATGTGATTGAGGAGGTCTGTTTCCAATAAAATGAGGAGCTGTCAGGGAAGAGAATAGGCGTCCATGCATTTGGCTCTTGAGTTGATTCAATTTCAAATGGGGCTCAGTTAAGGCCAGCGGCAGTCTGGTTTCACTTTATCAACTTTTATGAGACTGTCTGCAGCTTCTCCGTAGAGGTTTTATTTTGAAATGAGTTCCTGGGTCTAACTATTTTGGTGCAAGCCAGGTCATGAGTGACTCTGTTTTACCTATTTGAACACTTTGCATGATTTTCTTCATCATCTTGGCAGCTTGTTAAGTCATGTTTCCTTATATTTTCTAATTCCAACAAGGGAAAAACTTCAAGGTTAAGGAACACCCGGGTGTTTTCAGCTTGTAACTCCCAGCTGTGCAGGAATATATACTCTTTATGGTTGGGGAATCCCAACTAGGTCATATGCTCTGGGTTAACATCCAGTGTCTGAGCATCAGTGTAGATATGAATGCTAAAATCTCTGCTGTTTTGATTTTAAGTTTTCAAACCCACTTACCCACCTGTATGCACATCCTTGTATTTTCCCATACAACAGCTTCAGAAAGTATACAGTTTTTTTTCCAATACATTTCATTTTTATCATGTGAAATTTCAGAAATTATTTGGGTGCTGGACATCTTCTATTTGAACTCTTGAGATAAAGTCATACCAACTTTATAAAATAAACCCTCTGTATTAGGTTTTTCTCATAGTGATTTGTAAGTTAACTTCTCCATAAAATGTTTTTGGAGTGAGTTAGGCATTGCTCTGAGTTTTTGGTATCCTGTTTTCTTTGCATGAGTATCAATTAAGACAGTTGAACTTATTGTTTAGAACATAACGATAAACTTTAAGGTTTAGAAAGTTCTTAACACATTTTAGGGATGGAAGATTTCACCAAGAAAAAGATCATCCTCATTCTCCTCTGAGCCACGGCATTTTAATGTCATGATTTTGCACCCTACATACAGATGGGTGTAAAACATATATTTGTTTGGAAATTTGCAAATAGGTCCTGTGTTTGCTTATTCTTTGGTTTATATGTCTATCTCACTTAATTATGGTCATGCTGGGTAGGGATGATGGAAGATGTAGGTTAGTACATTCGCAAGGGCCCAAGTTTGGGAAGAGCCAGCTTGGTGGCACAAGGCCCCAAGCTAGAAACCGGGAGATGGTGAGTTCTAGACCTGTCTTAGGCACAAAGCCAGCTGGGGGACCTTGGGCCAGTCACTTCTCTAACCAACTTTGGGTTACAGTTCCCAGAGTCACTTCTCTCAGCTCTGGGAAGAAGAAGGCAAGGGGAAACCACTTCCAAAAATCTTGCCAAGAGAACTGCACTGATTCGAAGGCACACACATTAAAAAAAAAAAAAAGTTGGGAAAAGCTGCGGCAGTAGTCTTTTCCAGTCGACTGATCTTCTGCCACCTTATTCAGGGAGGGTGTTCAGTGTTGTTCGCATTCCTGTTATCTAAAAATAACAGCTCTTGAACCTGTGCTTTGGGTGTGGTACACTGAAGAACAGGGCTGGCAGCCCTGTCTGTTGCTTTGTTAAGCTGCATTGTGAATTCTCCATAGCCTTTGTGGGCCCTCCGTGCATTGCACAGTCTTCTAAACTGATTTCTAACCTCCTCAATTTTAATGTGGGAAGGAAACACAAAGAATCTAAATTCCCTCCTATTGGGACTTACAGATAGTCAGTCAGAAAAGACTCATAGAAGACTGGTTTTGTGTGTGATAACTGCAGTGAGGTTATCATAGCACAAAGACAGAAAAATACTGAAATACCCATAGTGGATTGTGAAGATAGCAGAATTTTGCAGAAATGCCAAAATTGACCAGTTTGGTTAGAGATAAAATAACAAGTACTTTGATAAAAGACTGGAAACCTTCTATGGACATTTTGCTGAAAATGGGAAAAAATGAGTTGATTTTTTTTTTGATTTGTTGATTAAAAAGGGTTGAGTATGGGAAGAAGGGAAATAGGTAATGTAATCCTAAAGCAAGAGAAGAGACAGTTTGTTTATAACTGCTGTAAAGAAGATCAGAAATCGTTTCTTTAAATATCTTTTACTTTTCTCTTTTCTGCACTTTTTTTCTCTCCATTCTTTTTTCCTGTTTTTTTCCTGTTTCTTTTATTCATATAATTTTTTCTAATAATCATATATATATACACAGAGAAAGAGAGAGAGAATTTAAATTCCCAAAACGTTAAACGTTCCTGAGATAGGCCGATCTTTGGTTTAGTAAGGGAGCCATGCTAATGGGTTACAGTTCCCAAAGTTTCCAGCTATGTTTCTGAGGACCAGCCAACCAAATGACTGGTGGTCGTTAGCTCTCAACAGTTTGGTAGACCAACCAAATCGCTCAGGAAAGTCTGATCTAAGGGAAAATTCTGAAAGTGAAGGCCTCTTCTAACAACTCCAGATTTACATTTAAGGGTTACAAGCTAAGATCGTGCAGACTGGGAGGGATGGGAAGTGTGGTTCGACACATGAGGGGGGCACTACACGAAGGGAAAGCTGCCATATCTGGATGTTCCTCTAACATCAATGAATGGATTTTCCAGGCATTCACTGCTTTATCCTGTTCCTTGAGAGCCCTGATGGCCCACGCTGAGCATCACGAAGCCCATATGGCACATATGGGCCATAACATGACTGACTCCACAAGCCCCACTATGGATCCTCACGCCCACCATCACGCCACGACCCCAGGACACATGCATGGAGGAATGATGGTGAGTGGAGTTCATACAGTAGTGCTTGGGCTGAAGCAAGAGAAGGCGGATGTTCTTCCATGCCCCTCCAGACCCCGCCTTGCATGCTTCCTCTCCCAATATCTTTCTGTTTAAATAATAGCAATAAAATGGAAACCATAAGGCTACCTCCAGCATCTGTTTCCAAGGCTACCGTGGGTTTTATCAGCATCTTTTGAAAAGGGAAAGGAAAGGGGAATAACGGGGCCCACCTGCCCAGAAGAACTGAGCTAAACTAGAATGGGAGGGAACATCTGGGGATGGAAGGGGACAGTTTCACACAGCTGTCTTTCAGCAAATGGATGTTCTGCCCTTGGCCACATCCAGATTGTGAGAGCACCCACTCCAGCAGCGACACATTATATATGTCATATCTCAGGACGTCCTCAATCAGGGATTGCCCGCTCAGTCCATTCTGATTCTTGCAAATTTAATCAAAGTGTGCAATGAGATAGTCCAACTTAGAACATCCTATTTTGAGGTTTTCTGTGTTAGCTCCTGCCTTAAGCTGTGGGCTTTCATAACTACAGAGCAATTCATGCCCGATGGGGTTAAATAAATTACAGGGCCTGAGCGGTTAGAAAAACTGGGTTGTAGCCTTGCATTAATTGGTGGCTGATACGGACTTGGTGTTTAAGCTTGAATTGACTTTTGAAGTGCCCCCTGTCACTTCAAGCTGTCTTTCTTTTTAAAGGAAGGGCTTAAACCAGCTTTAAAGGGGGCATTTTCCCAATGAAAAGGAGATGAGGCTTGAGCTTGGTGGTAAGCACCCCCCTTCCTGGGTAGAATTTCCAAGCAAAGGCTTTCCATTAAGGAGGGTGGGAGCACTCAAGAAAGGGGTGCTTTCAAATTATTTTGAAATTGCAGGGCCAGAAATGCTATCCTTTGCCTGCCCTTCGTAGCATCACATGGATTCTCTTCTCTCTCGGCAGGAGATGACTTTTCACTTCAGCTATCATAACGTGCCCTTGCTGTTTTCCGGGCTTGTCATCAACACAGCCGGAGGTGAGCGAGGGGAGCTGGGGGGCATTGGTCAAATTAGTTTTGTGTCCCCAAACCACAGGGAGGATTTTTCTTCTACCTGGAGCCAATTCCCTCACATTCCCTCTTTAAACCTGCAAGGGGGTTTAACACATTGGTTTGTCTATGAGCTGTTCCGATGGAAGCCCAGCCTGTGGATTCTGGCAAATGTTTTTGGGAACCCGTCAGCAGTGCCCACTCAGATTTCTTCTTCAGCTTGTTACTGAAGAACTTGCTTTTTAGAAACGTTTTAACCGCCCCTGCAGAGGCTCTTTTTTTTCAAAGAACCCCTCCACAATATAGGACTTTGGATCTGTGCAAAAGTCTGCCCGGCTGATATTCACAAAGAGAACTTCGAATCATAACTGAGCTTCCGTTGGCACGGTTGCTCTGGCAATCAGAATAGGGTGGGCGGATGTCAGGCTGGAATGCCAGAGCTGATCAATATTGGTGGGATTCACCAACTGCAATTGGATTGATTTATGTGTCAAAAATCACAGAAGGTTTTGGCCACCAGCAGAGAGCAACTGTAGAGGCAGAGGGAATGGCCTTGAAGGACAGGAGGAAGAGCTGTAACCAAGACAACGGTCAGATAAAAGAAATCTGAGTCTGGGCCAGAACTGTAATCTAGGACAGCGTCTCAGACAAGCCCCTCCCTAGTTCACGCGAAGAGAAAGGGAGGGAGGGGGAAGCACATTCAGACTTGCAAGATTCTGTTACTATAGCTGTTTCTATAAAAGTAGTCCTGACCTACACGGCATTGGTTTCTTGGTCCGGTCTACCCTTTGTTGGGTTTTACAGCAACCTAGGGATCTCCAGCAGTGCCACGCTTCAACTCTCCATATTGGAAGTCCCATGAAATACATTCCCAACAGTTCTGGATGGTGCCGGGTGGTTTGCCCTAGGGAGAAGAAATAACGTTTGTCTGTTTCCCTCAGAAATGGCTGGAGCATTTGTGGCCATTTTCTTCCTGGCCATGTTCTATGAGGGCTTGAAGATTGCCCGGGAGAGTCTCCTCCGGAAGTCGCAAGTCAGCATCCGTTACAACTCCATGCCCGTCCCAGGGCAGAACGGGACCGTCTTGATGGAGACGCACAAAACGGTTGGGTGAGCACGCATTGCTGTTCAGCTAAAGACAAACGCAAAAGAGGGAACTGGGTCCGTGGCTGGTCCTCCTGCCCTAACCCACACTCTCGTGGTAGGTTTCCTGTGAGAACGCAAGAGCTGTATTTTCTCTCCAGAGGAAATGGGGAGCCATGGGAAAGCCATTCTGGGTCTAAAAACGGGCATTTGCAGAACGCTTCATTTTCACCCGTTTTAAGTTTCAAACAATGTCCTTCAGCAACAGCAGAATTGCTGTTTCAAGTGTGAAACAGGTTGCCTCGAACTCAGGACGCTTTCAAAATGCTTGACAGCTTGAAGCCTTTTCTGAATAACGTGAAGCAAAATGTTTTGCACCAAAGGGAGAACTGCTGTTCCCACCACCTCCGCCCTCTTAATTCACCCAGATCTTTTCAGCTTGAGACCTATCACTGTTCCCTGCATCAGAAGCTATTTCTGAAGCCATCCCTTTCTCCTTGTTGCCCCCTCGCTGCATAGCACATGCAAGTACATAACTTTATCTCATTGTTTTTTCTGTTTGGTTAGGCAACAGATGCTAAGCTTCCCTCACCTCTTCCAGACAATCCTGCACATCGTCCAAGTGGTGGTCAGCTACTTCCTGATGCTCATCTTCATGACGTACAACGCTTACCTCTGCATCGCCGTGGCCTTGGGTGCAGGGGCGGGCTACTTCTTCTTCAGCTGGAAGAAGGCCGTGGTGGTGGACATCACCGAGCATTGCCATTAACACAGAGCAGTACTCTTCGCTATTCCCTACCGCCTTCCCAAAGGACCAGGTTTACTAGAAACATGCCAAGGAAAGCCATGGGACGCCCTCCAGTTTCCAGAGGGTGATCCTTGTGCCTCTCGCTCCTCTCCCCACATTTCCCCTCTTCCCCAGACTTTCGGTGGGGAGATTCCTGAGCCATGGGTAAAAGAGTTGGCAGCCAGTTAAGGCAACCTACTTAGAATGATTGATTAATGTAATAATAGATGGCATTCGTGATGGGGTTTTGTTTTAGACTGTACCATGATTTAAAGGAGCTGGCAGGCTGACGAGGGAATTCCATGTTCTTTCTGTACTTTAGCAGCCTATGTTTCTAGTGGGGTGTGGTGAACCACTCAGGCCAGTACATTTGATCGGTGATCTAGCAAGTGCCAATTCTGCCTGTCCTTGTTTCCTTGAGAAATCAGCTGTGCTTTGTGCTCTCTCATACATGCCAAACAGTTGTGTTGACTTGGGTCTGGGAAGCCACGGTCTTTGCCCCATAGCTGCTCTGGACTTCCACCGGTCAAAATGAACCATCTGCCCTCCTCCAGTTACAGCGCGCGGTTCTAGTTCTCCACCGCGACGTGCTGATTTAATGATGAAAAATGGAAAACGAGTTTGGGTTTTTTTTTAAAGTTTTATATTTTAAATAAACCTATAGCACAAGGGTTTTTAGTTCTTTCTGATTTGCAGGTTGGCATCAGCACTTACTTTTCTTCTTAAATGTTAAACCAAACTGTTATGCCCCACTTAAGACCACAGCAGCTTCAGACAAGGCTAGGTACAAGTTTTAGGCAGAGTGCAACCCTGCACTCATTCATCGGGGGGGGGGGAATTTCCTTTTACGGAGATCGTTACTGTGCCTTTTTCAGCCTGCGCTAGCTGTTTAACAGTCGCACGCACACCCGTGGATGTTATTGTTTAGGCATCCCACTTCAGTTTCAAGCCTTTGAGGAAGTTCTTTAAAACATTGCAAAAATTTCTTCCTAGATTGGATGAAATGGTTGTTTAACTTGAATATAATCAGTTGCACGTCTTGATCCTCCTAATTCTAGGGAGAATTGACCTACTCCATGTTTTGCTGATCCTAATTAGGGATGGATAGCCATATGCCGTCAAGGTGGCTGAAGAGTAGTTTGTGCGAGGGCTTTTCTGTAAGTCCCTGCTTACAGCCGTCTCCATGTGTCAAAGAAGGCCACCAGCATGGTCTTAGGGGAGAGGTAACCTTTCAGGGCACGCTTGGGAGCCCAGAGCTCCAGTGACAGGCATAGGTATGGGAGGGGGGAGCTTCTGAAATGTCCGTTGCATCATCACCATGCAAACCATGTAATTTATTTAGTTGCACCAGACGACAGGATGCAAAATATGAAAAGCTGGGATTTGGGTCTTGACCTCGCAACAGACATTTTGTCATGTCCACATCGCAGCAGTTTCAGACACTTCTGTCAGGCGATTATGCAAAGGAGATGGTGCTGGAATTCCTCCCTTCTTTTCAGCTGGGTGCTTCTTCTTCTGCCCAGCTCTGCTAAGCCTATTGTAGGATTTGCACTACTGTTAAGAGGTCTTGAAATGGTGAGAAATTTTGCCACCAGCTTTCAGCAGGAGTGATCAGAGGCTCTGGGAACCCCTGATAAGGGACCTATAACAATCAGTTTTCTACCGTCTTCTCTCTGCTGCTGGCATTCACAGATACAGTGCATTTCAACTATAATAGCTAATAGCCAGTTTGGGGCCTAGCTTTGCTTTAAACCTGAGGGCCCTGCAGAGCTTTTGTGAACCACGATTTCCAGTCTAAAAGGGGACCAGGTTGTCTTAATCCCAACCTGAAATTCAGAAAACCAGTAGCCACCCTATGGTAATCAGGGCAGAAAATAATCTTATATCTCGCCTGCTGGTACTGTGACAATCAACCCTCAATTTAGCTTGCTCCTGAAGTTAAAAGTAGAAACAATACACCAATCAACTGTCAACTGTGTAGCATTAAGTTAATTAACATAAGTTATGGTTCGGAAGCATGCTCATTTAGATTAACTGAACCATGGTTTATTCAATTAACCCAGTTTTCCAGGTTCACCCAATGCAGTGCTATCTACTCATCACACAGGCTAGCCTAAAATGGAGTTGGGTAGTTTGAGGTCCAGTCTATCACAAAAACGCAATCCGCGAGTCATATTTCAAGCTATAACAGGTCTTCAAGAAGAGCACACTTAAGTGTTATTTTAAAAAAAGAATTTTAGCTTCGTGGAGGATTAGGCTCAGTGGCTACTTTGATGGCTGTTTTTAAACTCCTGAATGGCAAATGGCGTCCCTCGAAATACCAGCTGCTGAGGACTAACAGGGGGGGGGGGGGGGGGACTGCTTTTGAATCATGTTTGAGCTTCCTAGGCACACCTGGATGGCCACTGAGACACACACAATGCCCCCAAAATTGCCCAGTAGAAAATTCACATTGTGGAATGATGCCACTCTTCCCTTGCAAATCTGAGGTCCAGTTTAATGCTTTAGCTGCAAGTAAGGAAGTAGAGGCAGGGCTGAGGCTGCTGGATTGATAGTTCAGCATCACCTGGAGCAGCAGAGTTTCTCATTTTGGGTTTAATTCCTTCCTTGGCAGGAAGCCAGTGGAATCTGGATAAATATTCCCTGCACTGGTCATGCTGAGGAAGGAAACTTTTTTTTAATTGCCCGAGAGGGAAACGTTCACACAACCTGGAGAACCGTAACCACAAGGAATCGAACACATCTGAAGTACCATGTCAGCTGAGAGTAAGCTTTCAGGAAGCTGGCGTTCACTCTCCAAGAGAAGCAAAGTTGCACAATCCTACCTCCAAGCTGCTTGGCTCTCCAGTCAAATGCTGCTATGACCTCTGCACTCGTCACTTATCAGCACACAGCAAATGACAGCCAAACGTTTGCCCAAACGGTGCGTGCAGAATAGTAAACCGGTACTATTGTGCTTTTTCCCACTGTACAATCTAAGCTGGCAGCTTTCATCAACCCATCGCCTTAAAAGGCTCCTAGGCTGGATTTACACATTGCACCTCAGCCAGGTGGTCTAGTGGGTCCACGGACATCATAGGCTAAGTTGGTTGCGCTTCAACCACGGCTAGCTTCCGCTGTAGCTTAGCATATTGTGCCCATTTGCTCACTTTTATCCAAAATAGTGTGTAAACCCAGAAAAAGTAATGGCTCCTTGGTTACTATTATGATATGAACCTAGCTGTATAGAAATTAAGGCTTATGAGATAGGTCCAGCTTCAGCAATTGGATGGTTTCCTTGTACACTGATGAGGTGAAAACAAAAAGTTACCTGCCAGCGTCTTTGTCTTATGTTTGGGGACAGAAAATCCTGTCCCATTTGCAGCTGACCATCACTCAGTATTGTTCTTCCATAAGTATGTTGTTATTCTGGTGTGTCCCCCCCCCCCCCCCGCCTTCCCCATTCAGTGTATCCATGAAAAAATGGTGCCTTAGCTGTATTGCTTCTCCAGGCCGTGTATTACCATGCAGGATGTCTAATTTAAATTCATAGCTGATGGAAGTGTACCCATTAGCTCTCATTATGTGAATACTAATGATTATGCCGTTGTAACTACTAAAGCACAGGGGGTCTTAATGGAAAATGATGGGCGCATGATACGTTTGCAAGCTGTGCGGTTAAGTTCAGTAGAATAAAAATATTCAACCCATCAGTTAGATTCTGCTTTTTTTTTTCCCTCTTTCCAGTGGCAATACCCTTCTCTCATACCTGTGTCAATTTCCAAACCGGAGCAAATAGTTTGCACGCACACAAGCTCGCCTACTATACGCCTCGTATTCTTATCCTGAGAGTAGCTCACAATTTAATGTGTTAAATGTTAGAAAGGGATGGAATGCAGAGAGAGGAAGCAAGCTAACTTAAGCAGCAAAACCAGCTCTAGGAAAAAGTGATGCTGGAAGTTCATCTTTGTTAAAATGATTGGAAGGAGGAGGCTCTGTCCCCCCTCTCCCCGGCAGGTGGTGCTACGGAAATACAACTTTTCCAGACTGGGGAGCGCTATACATGCAAAATTCCCAGAGGGATTAACACTGAAATCTGGAAACATTTGCACATGCTAGAACAGCCCTGGCAGAATCTTTTCTATCGCTGTTGCAAGAATTCAGCCCTCTGGTTGCAAACGGGAGGTTGGTAAAGATACATGGGTCAGGAGGTTGTATGAAAGTGGCCTTCGAGGGGAAACAGGATCCAACCTCGTTCTTAGAGAATAGCAAAGCTTTCATCTTCTAGAAGGATAAAATCCTGCGGCTCCCTCTGTCGTCCTCATCCTAAATCAGCTCCTCATAATCCCCCATGAACGTGCTTCGCCCAGAGATAACGGCACAACAAGGGTCCACCTGGTCGCTCTAGAATTCAAAGTTCCCAAACTGAGATGAACGGTTGCTGGGTTTAGGCTGAGGTTTGTAGCCAATCCGGTCATGGATCACCTGCTCCCAGCTCTTGTGATCAGGATTCAACGCCAGGGCCCCCTCGCCATCGTTGGCTCCTACCATGTCCACCTCTTCGCGCTGCTTTTTATGAGTCTGCGAAAACAAGAAGCTGCAGATACTTATGGAAGCAGAGCGGCATCTGTTCCCCCTCAGCACGTAACATTTTTATGGGAACTGGTTTTAGCATGGCCAGAGAGGTAAAAAAAACAAAAATCGATATTCAAATGCTTGGAAATGGCCCAGAAAGAAGAAAAATTCAGAAATATATACTCATGATTCACAGGATCAGAACAGACCGTGGACAATACAGTCCCAACATGTATTCAATGCAGAATGTCAGTACGCTCATCCTGGCTACCTTAAAGTCAATTTCTATATTGTTTGGCAATAATTATGTTTGCACAAAGAACTTCTTCCAATCCCGCTTTGCCTTCAACAGCACAGGACAAATACATACATTCATTTCAGTCCCTGCATTATACAACCGACAGCTTATTCAAAAATAAAATTTTGTAAATATATGAATGCAGATTAGTATTTAAAATACAAAATGCCATCCATCCTCATGGATACAAAGGGCACATTTTGAATGTTTTGCATGTTTTGAAGGCATAGTGTAAATCTTTTGTTCATCGCTATAAAGTTATGTTCATCACTATGAAAAGGTATGTTTCCTATCTTCTGTCCCCAGAAATTTATACAAAGGATACCAAAAATCAGGCCCCATAGGTCAATTACAAAACACTTCATTAATTTTTTTTTTCCAGAGAATATCTTACCATACTTAGGGGAATGTTCAAAGGTCATGCATCAAATGAGTAAAGAAATGTTTAGAAGAAAGTGGTGACCAATTGGAACATTTTAATGTAATTTATAGAATACACTGCATATGTGTGTGTATGTGTATACATACATATACATACATACATATACATATATGGAGAGAATATTTGTTCGGGAAAATTTGTTGCTAGGAGTCATGCAGCATATACATGTCATAAATTAGTACTATTATTAAAAGATATCCCTTGCTGGCAGTGATTGATAGTCCATCAACAATGGACTTTCTCCTAAAGTGAAAAGCCTTTATTTCAATTTTTGCTTCAAACTCAGCAATAAAAGGCACAAGACTCGAAAAGGTGGTCACCTGATTTGTAATAAATAACACAAGAATTGATCAAATGACTTGCATGCAGCTCTTATACACTTCAACATATACTGTCCTTAATTTAAATAAACCAGAAACAACCAGCCTGATCCTAATGTGTGCTAAATCTAAGCCCTGGGTTCATCAGCTTTGCTCCCAAGGAAAGGGGCTTAAGATTTCAGCTGGAATGTTCCTGTTTTCCAAAAAACTGCAGATTCTTGGGGAATGGCTGCCTCTGAGCACGTGCAGAATGTTTCTAGAGCATCAGTGCGGGCGTGTCCCTATAAAGCAAAGCTGCTTTTCATTTCCTTAAAATCCCTTAAGCATTTACGACGGGGAGAGTGTCTCTGAACATGGGCAGAGTGCCTCTGAACATGGGCAGAGTGCTCCCGGGGGCAGTTTTTAAAGGAGCACGAGCAGCCACCGCCCCTCTCCAGCCAGTCCCCCGCCTACCTCGAGCTCCTTGCGGACCACCTCAAACTCCTCGATGTCGTCCAGCTTCAGCTCCAGGCGGGTCGGCTTCCGCCGCAGCATCGTCCCGCCGGCCCCTCCAGCGCCTCCCCAGCCGCGCATGCGCACCGCCTCTTTTTAAGCCAGCATCCCGGAAACGCTCGCGAGAAGCGGCTCTGTTCGGCCACAGAGTCTGCGCCCGCCTAGAGCGGCCGGCTCGCCAGAACGGCCTGCGGAGACGCCATTGGTTCAGGCTCCCCGCCGGGGGTCACTGCTCCGGAAGTGCTTCGAGGGAGCCTGCGGGACCGGCAATGAGGGGCGCTATGGCTTCGTCGCGGACCTCCACGGTGAGTAACGGCAGGGGACGCGGGGCTGTTTAGCTTTACGCTGAGGGCTGCCCCTCTCCCTACATACCCCCCCTTCTCTCCCACCGGCACTTTCCAACCGTTGGACTACAAAGCCCATCGACCACAGCCAGTCCATTAAAGCCCGTGCTCGACGAAGACGCCTTTCCAGCGGCATAGTAACGCCCCCGCCCCCCCCCCGTCCTCTCCC